CGAACACCGCGTATAGCTCCGGCACCCCCTCCTTGCGCATGATCCCCCGCCGCGTCTCTCTGCCGCTCACCTCCCACTTACGCCTATATAACGGCGCCGCGCGCCGTCCGAAGCACCAGTCCCGACCGGCGAGTTGAGCCGGCACATGCTCTCGACAAGCGAGCTGAGCTTTGAGAGAGACTCCATCGTCCCGTGTGTTGAACGGGGCACCCCCCTTCCCGACGTGCGTGTTGAGCACATCCTTCTGCCTCCGCCGTGCGAGTTGAGTACGGCCGCCCCGCCGACGTGCGTGTTGAGCGCGTCCCACCGACCCCGATGTACGTGCTGAGTACATTCCCTCAATACCGACGTGCGAGTTGAGCACGCCCGCCCGTCCGCCCACCGTACCGAGGCCCCGACCCGAGGGGCTGACCGCGACACCGAGCCCGCAATCGGGAAACGCGTTTGCGCCGCCGCAACCCCGGGCCGTCACGACGCGACCATACCCGGGGAGGACACGACCGCGTACCGGCGTTAGATATTAAGGCACTAGCTAGTAAGGAACTAAATGTTAAGATCGTAGGCGTTAAGACACTATAGCGCAGGGAACTGTATATATTAGCCTAGGGCAGAGGAACGAATAAAAACGGTAAACGAACAACTCGTGTAGTCTATTGGCCAATTCCCGCCGCCCGGACCTCGGTCCACACTCCGAGCTACCCGTAGCAAAGAGAACAGGTCACAAATGGCGCCCGAACAGGGACTTGGCCAGTAGACTCCACAAAAGGGAAAGCCAACGGGGGCTCGAACCCGGAACCGCCGCCATGCCGCGAACCAGCACCGGCTGGGTACACGCGCTATCCAAGAACGCTTTGATCGCCGAGTTAACCGAACGCAAACTGCCGACCGAAGGAAGCCGCGATGAGCTGCGCGCCCGACTCCTGGAATCCGTCCGAGCCGAGCAGAAGGACGCCACCGACGCCGACAACGAAACCGACTCCGAGGAGGACGACGAACAAAAGGTCCAAACCGAACGGACCAAGCCCGGCCGTAACCGCCGATCACTGACCGACACCACCACACTACTCGACACGGTCCGCAAATGGGGATGCCAGTTTGACGGCAAAGACGGAGTCGCCTTCCTCGAACGGCTCGAAGATCTGAAGGAGGGCTACGGGCTGACCCACAACCAGCTCCGCCACTGCTTGCCGCTCCTGTTTAAAGACCAGGCGCTCCTATGGTATCGAAACAACCGGGACCAATGGGCCACCTGGAAGGAATTTGAGGAGTGCTTCCGCCAGTATTATGTCCCCACCAAGACCCGGTACGAGCTGGAGGAGGCAATCGCACGACGGACCCAGGGACCGACCGAGGCTGCACGAGACTACGTGACGGCCATCCAGACCCTCATGCGCCGCCATAAGGAGATGACACCGGAGGACCGCCTCGAACGGACTTATCATAACTTGCGGCCGGAGTACCAGCTCTTCATCCGTAGGTCCGACTTCCAGGATCTGGCAGAGATGCTACGGCTGGCCGACGACTACGAACGCATCCGTAGATACAAACAGAACTACCGGCCCGGACCGAAGAATGACAAAGGGAGGGACCAACCGAAAACAGCGGTTGCGGCAATCACGGCCGAATACAATCCACGGGACTGCTGCTGGGGCTGCGGCCAAAGGGGGCACACACGACGCTTTTGCCGACGGCCGCCGAAAGTTTTCTGCTCCCAGTGCGGGAAGGAAGGCGTCCTCACCCGCGATTGTCATGGCACACGGCCGGGAAACGCGGGCACGGCCGCGGAAGCCGGGGGAGCTTCCCGGCCCCTCAACAACCCCACCAAAGAGGAAGGCGCCGCATAGGCCACCAGCTCCCCAGTATCCGGCCGGGCCCACGCGCCAACGATCCACGACCGCACGCGGAGATCGAGATACAGGGGCGACGCTATACGGCCCTACTGGACTGCGGGGCAATCCTCTCCTATATCTCCCAGAGGGCCGCCGACCGCCTACGCCCGCACACCCACTGCCGACGGATCCAGGCCGCCGCGTATCTTGCCGACGGACGAATCAGCCTGGTCACGGAAGAGCTCCGAGGATACACGCGAATGGGACGATTCCACGGGTGGCAGGCGTTCCACGTGCTGCCAAATCTCACCCCCGACATCATCGCGGGGGTAGGACTACTGCAAAAAGCCGGATTCCGATGGGGCATCCCGCCTCTCGCCGCCGTGAGCCCCGAGAGTAAACCCACCGCCAAAGTAAGAGGAGGCCTGAACCCCTGCTCAACAAGCCAGCAAGGGCGGCTGCAGCAGCTACTGGACAGGATGCTACCAAAATTCGAACAGATACAAGGGACAACGCCGCTGGCGACTCACCACATCCGACTAAAACCAGGGCAGGTACCAATACGCCAGCGCTACCGCACGTATAATCCCGCGATGCAGCAAATAATAGACACCGAGATCAACAAAATGCTCCAGGAAGGGAGCATAGAACCAACCTGCAGCCCCTGGAACTCGGGGGTCGTGCTAGCCAGGAAGAAAGACGGACGGCATCGATTTTGCATCGACTTCCGCCGAATTAACGAAGTCACCGAAAGAGACGCCTATCCGTTGCCGCCAGTACAACACATACTCGATCAATTGCGGGAGGCGCGCTACCTATCCACCATCGACCTCAAAAATGGATACTGGCAGGTGCCGCTCCACCCAGCCAGCAAGCCATTGACCGCTTTTGCCGTCCCGGGGCGAGGACAATTCCAATTCAAGGTTATGCCCTTCGGGTTACACGCCGCACCCGCCACCTTCCAGCGTCTGCTGGACCAGGTTATAGGACCGGACATGGAGCCCCGAGCCTTCGCCTACCTAGATGACATCGTCGTGCTGGGCAAAACCTTCGGGGAACACCTGCAAAATCTGGAGGAGGTGCTCCAACGCCTACTCAACGCCAACCTCCGTCTCAACCCGGACAAATGCCAGTTCGGCCGAACCAGCCTGCGCTACCTCGGGCACGTAGTAGACCAGGGCGGGCTCCGGACCGACCCAGAAAAGGTCAGCGCGATACTAGGCATGCCGACCCCGACGAACGTAGGGGAACTCCGCCGATTCCTGGGCATGGCATCCTGGTACCGACGCTTCATCCCGAACCTAGCACAAGTGACGGCACCACTGAACGAACTCCTCCGTAAGGGGACCCGGTGGAAGTGGGGGCCGGACCAACAGGCAGCACACCGACAAGTAAAGAGCGACCTCGCCACAGCACCCGTATTGCGGTGCCCGGACTTCACGAAGACCTTCACGCTACAAACCGACGCCAGTGACAAGGGACTAGGGGCCGTACTGACACAGGACGTCAACGAAGAGGAACGAGTGGTCGCCTATGCCAGCCGCACCCTCAGGCCAAGCGAGAAGCATTACTCCGCGACCGAGAAGGAGTGCCTCGCCGTGGTATGGGGAATCGAGAAAATGCGACCCTATCTCGAGGGGTACCATTTCCGCGTCATTACGGATCACTTCTCGCTCCGATGGCTCCGTACCCTCGAGGATCCGACGGGCCGGCTAGCTCGATGGGCGGTGTTCCTGCAGCAACACGACTTTGAAATAGAATACCGAAAAGGGGCCCTCAACCACGTGCCGGACGCACTGTCTCGCCAGCCTCTAGCCGAGGGGGAGGAGGCTGTAGAAACAGCCGAATGGGATCTGGCGGCTATACTACCCAAGGATACCTGCGCCTGGTACCAGCGGACCACGCTGGCCGTGCAAAACGAGCCAAAGAAGCACCCAGACTTCCGCATACACGAAGGGAATCTGTACCGCCATTTCCATGAACGACACAGCACGGACGAACAAACGAGCCAGGCAGCATGGAAATTCTGCGTCCCGAAGCCACTACGAGACCAAGTGCTAAAAGAGTGCCACGACGAGGCTACCGCCGGACACCTAGGAGTAGCAAAAACGCTCGCCCGACTGGCTCAAAAATATTACTGGCCGGGCATGTTCAGAGAGGCCACCAACTACGTCCGTCAGTGCGAGAACTGTCAGCGGTTCAAACCCCAACAAAGACTAACCGCCGGGCTCCTGCACCACGATCGAGTAGAAAGCCCTAACGAAGTCCTGGCGATAGACCTGATCGGCCCGCTACCACGATCCACGAACGGACACACGTGGATACTGGTCTGTCAAGACACGTTCACCAAATGGCTCATAACACGCCCTCTACGACAAGCCACCGCAGCGGCAGTCACACGCGCCATCGAGGAGTGCGTGCTCTACCAGCATGGCTGCCCCCGACGCATCATTACCGACAACGGGAAGCAGTTCGAGAGCCGGGAATTCCGCGAGATGGCAGCACAAGCCGGGATCCAGCACCGACGCACGCCGCCCTACTCCCCCCAGTGCAACCCCGTAGAGCGCGCAAATCGAACTTTGAAAACAATGATCTCGCAATTTACCGAAGGAAATCACCGACACTGGGATAAGAGGCTGCCCCTGCTCACATTCGCGATTAACACGGCAGTGCACGACAGCACCGGGTACACCCCGGCCCGCCTAACCTACGGACGAGAACTGGAAACTCCCGGGACGCTGCGCGCACGACACGAAGCCCCGCTCGAGGAAGCCGCCGGAGCCGAACAAAGACCAACGGCGCGACTGCAACAGATCGAGCGAATGCGAGAGGAATACGAAGTGGCGATCTTGCGGCAGGACGAAGCCACCGCCCGCCAAGGGCGATATTACAATCTCCGCCGCCGGGACTGGAAGCCAGCTATTGGGAGCCAGGTCATGCGGAGGGAGCACCCGCTATCTAAAGCGGCCGAAGGCTTCGCGGGCAAACTCGCGCCGCGATACACAGGACCATACACCGTAGAAAGACTACTATCGCCGGTCATCGCCCGTCTGCGTGATCACAACAATCGGCGTGCCGGCATAGCACACGTGAAGGATCTAAAAAGCGTCTGAAGAAGCCGCCCGCACCGAATATAAGGCCGCCGCGACCGATCGGAAGCCAGCATTAGTCATGGAGCACGACAAGCGACGACCAAGTCGAAAACCCGACTCCCGGCTGGGGAAGCTGAGACAGCGGTTCGCCAAGGCCGTGGCAGCGCCACCGAGGAAGCCGCAACGGGTCCTCCCGCCGGAAGCAACCCCGCGCAAGATTCCGGCCCCGACACCACCGAAGGCGCCCGCACCACCTCCGACTCCGGCCACACCAGGTCGACCCCCAGCCGTGGCCCGCAGCCGAACCACCCGCTCCCGCCAGGAACTCCTGTACGAGGAAGCGATGCGGTCCAACCAGGCCATGTGCGAGGAGCTGGAGGCGCTCTTCGGGTCCCTCTCCGACTTAGAGGACGAGCCGACACCCACCGACAGCGCGGTCCCCGAGGCTCCGGAGGCACCCCTCGTGGCCGCGAACGCAGTTCCGCCAACACCACCGCCGACACCCGGAGTCCCCTCCAGCACCGGAAACGAGGACCCTCCGGCCACCAGCGCGGGCTCACCCGGCAGCGGACCATTCCAGGGGTACTCGACTCTCCCCGACGAGGAACTCCGGGCAATCCCCTGGGAACGGATCCGGCCAGGCCAGCGTTACCGGCACCGCACCCCCCTCCGTACGATCGTCGTGAAACGGCTGCGAACCGGCGAATTCCGTGTAAGATAAGGATAAGGAGAATAAAAGGCTAGACACAGATATCACGCACGGGTCTGCCAAGGGGGAGGTGTAACGAGTCACCAGCGAACACCGCGTATAGCTCCGGCACCCCCTCCTTGCGCATGATCCCCCGCCGCGTCTCTCTGCCGCTCACCTCCCACTTACGCCTATATAACGGCGCCGCGCGCCGTCCGAAGCACCAGTCCCGACCGGCGAGTTGAGCCGGCACATGCTCTCGACAAGCGAGCTGAGCTTTGAGAGAGACTCCATCGTCCCGTGTGTTGAACGGGGCACCCCCCTTCCCGACGTGCGTGTTGAGCACATCCTTCTGCCTCCGCCGTGCGAGTTGAGTACGGCCGCCCCGCCGACGTGCGTGTTGAGCGCGTCCCACCGACCCCGATGTACGTGCTGAGTACATTCCCTCAATACCGACGTGCGAGTTGAGCACGCCCGCCCGTCCGCCCACCGTACCGAGGCCCCGACCCGAGGGGCTGACCGCGACACCGAGCCCGCAATCGGGAAACGCGTTTGCGCCGCCGCAACCCCGGGCCGTCACGACGCGACCATACCCGGGGAGAACACGACCGCGTACCGGCGTTAGATATTAAGGCACTAGCTAGTAAGGAACTAAATGTTAAGATCGTAGGCGTTAAGACACTATAGCGCAGGGAACTGTATATATTAGCCTAGGGCAGAGGAACGAATAAAAACGGTAAACGAACAACTCGTGTAGTCTATTGGCCAATTCCCGCCGCCCGGACCTCGGTCCACACTCCGAGCTACCCGTAGCAAAGAGAACAGGTCACAAACTTGAAACAAAATTTTACATAGAGCCCGCGAACCAAGCGAGTGTACTCTAAGAATAAGTGAAATATAAACGTTTCGACTTACAACGAGGTCATCTTCTTCCGCGTTTGTATTATTTTTCACTCAGTATACATATCATTGGCCACGCACATCTTGCTTGGTTCGTGAGCTCCACGTAAAATTCGTTTCTGTTTAAATTATTGAGCCTCTATATTCTTATGTTTGAAATTAATTTATTATCACGATAAATTGTTACGTTCATTAATTTCAAAATATCAATTCAAAGTTAAATCAGTCACAATTGGATTATATTTTCTAATTATATCTCCGATAACACGGATAACAATTATTCCGATTTAAAAACGTGTCTGAATTAAACAAAGTAACTATTTCCTGTTGAGGAATAATAATTATCACGCTAGACCTCGCGTGAGTAGAAAAAACTCATAAGAATCTCGAAACTGCTAGATGCTATTCAAGCTATAAAGTGAACAATTTGTACACGGTAAGACTTTTCTCTTAAAATCCACCCTGGAAATCATGTAATCGTGGAACAACGTGGCATTTTGAAGAACTGTAGGAGAGTTTCTTGAAATTTTACCATACATTCTACTAGCAAAATGTGTACCAAGTATAATTACTGTTGGTAACTAGTTGAATGTATAATGAAATTTAAAAAAAACTCATAAAACTCTTCGAAATGCCACGTTGTCCCACGATCGCACGATTTTCAAGATAAAAATTAAAGAAATTCTTTCCATGTACATATCCTAATCGAAATCTCTACATTCGACCGATAACAATTGTTCTTATCGTAACTCGCCAATGTCTGAAACGAAGAAGCTCCGCGTGTGTCACTGGCGTGACGAAAGCCGGACCAAATTCATCGGGATGACTCGCGCGCGTTGAGAGATCTCATCTCGGAGCAGCCGCGAGCGCGATGACAGCATCCGGCGATGACGTCACATAGCGGCGGCGGCCGCTGCGACGACCGTGCACGATGACGTCGACGATGATCGCGGATCGGCGGCGGCGGCGGCGGCGGCGGCGGAGGCGGAGGCAACGGCAGGAGGAAGGAGTTGGATTGGAGCTCCGACAGGAATTGACGGTGCACCGTTTCGTCGCGGGGCCCCAGTACCTTTCAGATCGCCGTGTCGTCGACTTCTTTCGGACTCTCGCGGATTCGCCGCGGGAGAGCTCGATTCCGCGCGCCGGGCCCGGTCGTCGATCCGCGACGCCGCGCCGGCCGCCGGACGCCGTCGGCACATGACAGTGACCCACATACCGCGGTTCCGGTATGCCGCGTTACGTTAATCCCGGCGGACACCGGACGAATTCATGGTGGAAGGATTACATGGTGTGCTCAATTGCCTGGGGGAATCGGGTAATGACGTCACTCGCAGTGTTGCCAACTCCACTTCTGCCTGTCTACTAGATGGTGTTGTAAATCCTACCAGAATCCTACTAGACAAAAAAAATTTGAATTATTTGTTATAGCACTTGCAGACTAATGTACAAACGCGACGCGCGATGTAAGAGCCATTATACGATTGTGGTTTGGGTAAAATTTTATAAATAATAAAATACCAAAACGATAATAAATTGCACATATATATTCATATAACCATATATATTCACATATTGCACATATATATTCAGCTAACCATAATAAATTGCACATGAATATTCAGACAGAAAAAATAAAAAATAATCAAAAGGAGTCCAAGATAGGATCATCCTCATCTTGTGTAAATAAATCTTGCTGAAGTGGTTCCGACCTTTGAACATCGTCAAATATCACTTCATCTGATACAGACGTACGGGGTGTATATGCAGCAAGAGTGCCTATTTGGTCCAGTACTGATGTTGGGAATTGGTAGGTAGAGCAACACAAATTCAACCTACGAAAGCCAGCACGAATTATGAGGATTGCTACCAAAGTTGAATCATCGAGCCTATTCCTGTGAGGTGATTTAACAATTTTCATTTGACTGAATGCTCGTTCAATTTCTCCATTTGACCAAGGTAGCACTAGACACTTTATGGCAAAATTTACCAAATCCACAAAGGGATTTTCTCCAGCAGCATCCTTATACTGTAGGACCTCGACCCAGAAAGGTACAGTCTTTTCTGTATTCTTCCATTCCACGAAAGAAATTTTCGACCACTGAAAGTCTATGTTGGTTATAATTTCTGGAGGCTCTTGCATGAGCTGTGCAAGCGGTATCACTGACGGTTTCACTGTGCGTAAACAACTTTCTGGAGCGAGAAGAGACACACTCTGAAGAACCTCTATGTTGTCTGGAAGTCGCAGCTGCAAGTTGCTTACTAGAGTTGCAACAAAACTGATGCATCTCAATCTGATGGCCATCTCGTCGTCAACATTGAGAAGTTTGCTGGAACGTGCTTGACGCATTTTCTCTTCAAACGTATAGCCAAGGTAAGGCTTTGGATGTAGGTGATTTTTTACGTTAACAGTGAGCAAATTTTCTTTGAGCCCAGAAACAACGATTCGCTTTGCTAGTCCTTGAATAAGAAGAGTCAAGGATTTCAAAAGCTTCACAGGATCGTTTCCATTTGTCTGGAAGACTTTATTCACCTAAAAAGAAAAGAAGATATATTTAATATAGACAGCTAGTACATATAATATATATGCTTTGGTCAGGGAATTTTCAGGGAGAAGTTTTTTGTCAATATCGAATCAATGCCTCAATGAAATCTATGTTAATAATCCATCGATATTAAAAAAAGTCAATGTTAACGTGTAAATTGTGACATCAAATTGACAAAAAGATAAAAGAATTCTAACTAGAATACAAAACTTTGTTTACCTTCTGGGCTTCCTCGAGAATAGGTTGCAGAAACAACAAGTATAGTTCGTTGCGAACATCGGAATACATGTTGAAGAGAAGTTCAGCTGTGAAGCATTTGTCGTTCCCTTTCCACAATTCAAAATGCAAACGTAGCTCTAGCCATTGTTTTACGATGCGAGTAACTGCTTGGGAGATAGAGAGCCAGCGAGTATCAGCTACCTTAAGGATCTTAAGAGGATTATCTCCATCATTGAGAGTGTTATACAGGGCCTGGAAATGTCCTTGCCGATCAGCTGACCTAAAAATCCGCCGACATTGGTTATTACACTGCACCTACATCGAACCCAAAACTCAACACTCCAAAATCCAGATGCATAGTTACAAGAAGTTCAAAGATCATGAAAACATTGCGTGCTTACTTGCCTCACTGAAATATATACTAACTGGAACGCGCGCTAGAGCGGACTGTACCTTTCCGTCCCCACTCTCGACCACCCTATAAACCAGACAATGACAGACGCCACTCGACGATGCTCTCTCTCGGTACGCACGACTCGGCTCTAGCGCGCGTTCCAGTTAGTATATATTTCAGTGACTTGCCTGGAGAACCATGTATACGTCCCGCTGATGAGAAACTCCAAATTTTTTGGCATTACTTCTTTAACAGATTCTGAAACCGCTAATTGAATGGAATGGCAAACACATCGTATGAGAATTAAATGAGGAATGTCAGCCTTAAGTCTTTGGTACACTCCTGTATTGACTCCTACAAAATGAAATATTCATATGAAATTCACAATTTTCATACCGTGTTAAGTATTCTCAAAACAGTGAAGCCTAGAAAACACTCACCTGTCATGACCGCTGCGTTATCAGTCCCAAGTCCTCTCATATTCTTTAAATTCAAATCAAACTTTTGAATTACTTCTTTGACAGCTTTAGTTATATGT